AGCGATTGCTCCGTATTTAGCAAGATATGAATGGTGTATGTGTGTGTGTGTGATGCTGACTGCATTGAAAAGTAAAAGTTTTTCTTTTTCGTGTGTGTTGTAGACGCATGTGAGTGCACGCATGCATGCATGACAAACGGAAAACCGATCGACTTGAAGTAGGAACAAAACACAGTAACAACAACGAGACGGATGAGAGTTAGCAAGAAAAATCCGACACATGATTGAATAACATACACAGAGTGCATTGCATATATATGTAAGAAAATCGGATTGCATTAATTGTGCAAGTGGCACGCGCGGGGCCATTGCAAGTGCCATGGCAAAAGTGGAATTCTTCCTAGTGTGCCGAAAACAAAGACACTTGGAATGGAAATAAAGAAAAAAAACGTAACTAGAAACTGAATGTGTGTCGTGCTGCAGTGGGTTTTTTTCTTCGAAAACCAAAACTAGGCGCAACGATTCGCTCCATAGATTTCCAAATACATGCCGAATACCATTCGCAGACATAAAATTCAAGTAGCAAAAAAAACCTTTTATGCACTTGCACTGAAAGCGACAGATGTGCTCGCTCAGCTGTTTGATGAGAAAGAAAGGGAGAGAGAGAAGGGAACGACAGAGAGAGAGAGAGAGAGTTCGCGATTGACGCGCGATTGCACGACGAATGACATGAAAACACTCGTGAAGTGAATCGAAGACAGAAACGTAATCGGGCTGCAGCTATTTAATTAAACGGTAAACAAAATACTTCCATTATTATTATATAGTTTATGGTGTTATCTAAATCTTAAGTGATGTGCATCGAAAATGAGCTAAAGTAATTGTATATTGGCAGTCAGTAACCGAAAGAGAGTCTCTCAGCGATAAAAAGAATTTCCATTGTGTGGGTTATTTCAGTGTGTATGTGTGCGCGCTTGCGAATCAACTGATGGTTACTGTTGTTACAATGCTCGTGAGCGCAGGCGCACGCACGCGAGATGCAACAACAAGACGAACTGAACTTAAATAATAATATTTGCGGCAAAAGCATTCATAATAATAGTAATAATGATCCAAGACGAGTTATTATTGTCTCGAAAAATATGATTACCGGGTGGATCGGCGCGCACAACAAAATCTATGTAAGACACAAACACAGTCGCATCGAACGGTTTCTCACATCGAACACAATTGGATCTAATGAAAAACCGATTTACATGCTATTTAGTATACTACTCGATGCGTGATGACAACATCTTATGCAATCACCGACAGAAGGAGAAGCAGAAGACACGGCGAACAGAGCAAGGCGAAGAAAAATCGCACAGCAAAACACAAATGACGACAACAATATAAAAATGTCGTATTTGAGCATTTTTATTGAAGCCGTTTTCAGTGGTTTTTACTCTTTCTCTTCTTCGTTGCTCATTTTCATTTCAATCAAAGCATCGTAAACATCTCACACATTTGAATTGGCGAATAAATGGATTCATGTTCCAAATAATAGCAATAACGAAGTGATTTGTATGTTGTGTGTCTCCAATGCGCACTGCGCTAGCCAACACCGACTTTTCATGTCAACACCACAGAGCATATAAAGGCGAAACGACCTTGTGGAACGTTAACATTACGATACAAAAATATGCGATGAATTTACAGATACATTTTGCACAGCAATTTTTCTGTTCGATTGGTTTCTTTTTTTTTCATTTCATTTTGGCGGGGTTTTTCTTCCGTCAATAAGCTCGATCGTTGTATGCGCACCGATGAATCGGTCAACGGAACCTGACTCTTTCTCTCTTCCCTCTCAGCGCAAACACACACACACACTCTGTTTGACTCATGCGCTTTATTGATAAATTGACTAAATAAAACGAGTTGAATCAACAACGGGACTAAATAAGGAAATAGTAAACAAATTGCATTAATTTGACGAAAACCATGATAATTATTATTTGTATGCAATCAAAATACCTTGTGCCTACGACATCAAAATTTACGACTTTCTTTTTGCTAAATGCAATTCTCTTAGTGCGCGCCGCACACACACAAAATGCACATATTTTGCATTCCTTTAAACGAAAAACCGTTTTTATCAATTCAATAAAAATGATGAGCGTTTTTTGGTGGAAGCAACAATCAACGAGAAAAAAAGAAGATTCCGTTGCAAAATAAATGAGCAGTCGGAAGAAGATGCAACAACGAGATTTCTTCAGAGTGGGGCATAGCAAATCAAATCGCACTCACGATTCCAGTGAAATCATGCAAACTCACGAACTTCAAATCTTGTTCGTTTTGTTTTTTCATCACACAAACAAACGCGGAGAAATACAATGATACAAACAGCAATTCACTGGGTGACTACAAGAGAGAACGATCGAGTGAGCGCAAGCGCATAGTGACGATTAGATACTTGACTTGATGAAAAGGAACGAAGCAACAGCATCCAATTCCAAGCACACAAGTGTCGTCTTCTTCGCTTTTTGAATCAAAAACTATTTGCAACGGAACCGATGAAGAAGAGGCGACCAGCGATAAAAAAAACAACATATTTGTGACTTATGTGATGATGATGATGGCGACGATGAGCACACTCACCATTATAATCAGCGTGTATACGGTAAAACGTGAATCAACAACGAAAAATATCACTACATATCAATGAATTTGTGCCACTTTCTCAAAACCATGCGCCTTGTTGTTGTTGTTGTGTTTTTTCGGCATGCGACGGAGTATTTGTACGAGAAACGGTGATAAGATGGGCGTCCATGGCGTCATCACTGTGGAACGAAGACGATGCAATGTGCTTGTTCGCCGAAAACCCGATATCAATTATATGGAGCTCAAGTGATACTTTTTTTGCCACGCCACCGCCGCCGTCGCGCATCTCCGTCTCGTTTTCGAGCAAAAAAAAAAAACAAAATTTCTCTGCTTTTACTTATCCGCTCGTTTAGCAAAAATCCCAAATATTGCACAAGAAAACACAACAAAAATTACATGTTCTCCGAAGAGACGGAGTATGTGTAGTGTACTCTTGATCGTTTTGAAGAAGAAGCAAAAATCCGTCAATAACCGACTCATTGATGCCACAAGCGCTTAAAAAATTTACGTTCTACATTCGCATTACAAATCAACTCTCGCTTTTTTTTCCATCTTCTTCTCCATTTGAAATGATAATTTTTCGTTGATGAGAGCGTTCGCTCGTGAACACAATCGAGTGAGCAAACAAATGAACGAAGATGAAACAACAACTACGAACGAATGAACAGAAACAAAAACAAAAATGCTCGCTCTTGCGCGCCTGAACTGCTTCGCCTCGTTATTTTAATGAATGCGAATAAATAAATAAATCTTTATCCAATCACGAGCACATTTCGATTGCACAAATCATTTGAATGGCATTTTGTGCAAAGTGCAAAAGTTCGACGAGTTCATCATACGTATAGATTGATTTCGGCATTGCTTCGCTTTGCCGATCGATAGGCATTTCAATCCATTTTGATGGAGAAACAACGACAACGACGAAAGAGAGAAAAAAATCTCGCGATTTACTACACAACTTTAGTTTGCAACTCGACGCCTAATATTATTAGCTAATGGTGCCACCAATTTATTTATTTATTCATCGAGTGTTTTTTTTCCTTCAGTTCGCAAATTTAACAAAAAAAACTTCATTTTACTATTAATGGCATCGTGTCCGTTCGTGCATGTGCGATTTTTGTTGGCTTCGAAGGGAAAAAATCAGTTGATTTGGTTGAAAAATCGGTCGGTTGCCAGGAAAGAAGAATGAGGGCTCGCTTGTTTCATTTAAATAAAAACAAAAACCACACAATGATTTGAAAAATTGACCATTCGATCATTTTTTCTTATTGAGCTGCTTGACCACTTGCCAAATATCAAAAGAAATGTTGTTATTATGCAGATGAAGAACCAACAAAAGAAGGAATGAATTCAGCATTTGTCTTAAATACAAATGTAGTATTTGACGACTTTTTTTTACTCTGTTTCTGGTCGTAAATTTTGCTATCAAGATGCTATTTATGACACGAGCATGAAAGCGAAACCAATATACCAATGTGGGCGTGAGAAGAGCATGTCCGGAAGAGATAAGCAGTCGAACAAGGTCTGAGAATGAAGATTTATTTGCTAATTAGACCGAAACTGAAATTCTGAAACTCTACATAAGGCAATGTGCGAAGAAACAGTGTTCCATGGGAAAAAAGAGACTGAATTTTAAACACTCGAGAGAGAGAGAGACACATTTGAGCGCATGGTGACCTGAACAATGTGCGTTATTTATGAATTTGGAATTTCAATCTAATCCCAAACAAAAATTAAACATAATTACGCCCAGTTCGCGATCGAATTTCAATAGAAAGATTATATCGATTTGCTTCAAATAAGGTCAATAGTGTGTCGAAAAATTTAACGACTTTTGATGTTATATCGAAATTATGCGGAAAACTTGATCTGTGAAATGTGTTGCGGCTGCTGATGTTGTTGTGTGTGCTTCGATGTGTTTATGTGCACTTTGGTGTATTTATGTGTCACACACTCACACACGCCCCGATCACACACGAGCCAACATAGAGTCGCTCTCTATCCGATTGGTAAAGGCAACCGACGTAACATTTCAACAAATTATGATGTCGGTTACAACAATCGATAAAATAAACTGAAAAATCCTTTTACTTTTCTGATTCTCGACGGTGTGCACTTTTTGTTTATGGTTTCGGTTTTGGTTGTTTTTCTTCGAGCGGCGGTTTCGTTGATTTTGCGATTAAATGTGGAAAATGTGCGTCATGCACATATACGCTGCACGCTTACGCGCTTTAATTAAAAAACAATCCATTCACATTTCGATCTCTCGATGATTCCTTTCCAGTGCGCAATTTTTAACATAGTAAATTACATAAATGCAAGTGATTGAGCACATACATTGAGAGCAATATGACTATCTCTCTATCCGAAGAGCGGCAGAAAAATGGAATAAATCTCTTGGAAAACAAAATTCAACTCACCAAATTGCAAATGATATCAGCTTGAGTTCCATTTTTGTCGGTGTGATTGTTTATCTTGTAAATTGTTTATAGGAAGAGAAGCACACGCAATCAATTTTTTTTGTTTAACACTTAATAACACTCATCGAGTTAGTCTAAACTTGATTTTTTTTCTCGTTCTTTTAAGGAAATTCTTCCGATTTCACTTAGCATCCGCGCGCAAAATTTACACTCTCACTTTTGTTATTTTAAGAATATCCATATAAAGTGTGTTCAACATAAAATCCATTTAGAAATGCGGTCTGAGTCCAATGCGCTTCCACATGGAAAAATCCTAAATGAGGAGAAAAAGAAAACAAATCACTTGCAATTCATAACCAAAATTAGCCATGAATAAATAATGGGTTATTTTTCTAAGACTAAACGACACATTTGTCAAAATATGGTGGATTATCATTGATCAAACGGGAATATTTATTAATAATCGAACGATTAAGTTTTTTTGGATTAAGCTATTTTCATTGTATTTAGAAATTTCGTATGCCATTTCACTTTTTTCTTTCCGTCGAATCGTCAAAACGGTCGTTTTCATTCCCCAAAATCATCGGACGTTGTTAATATTGTACGGTGTGCTACCTGGTTCCGTATACGGAATTTTGCTTGAACGAACGAAAATAAAAACTCAAGCCTAAGTGTAATTAAGCGAATGCCTTTTGGAAGAAGTGAATAAGAAAAAGTAACAGCAACACAGCACCCATTACACATAAACACAATGAACTACTAGCAAACGCCTTCACATTTTGTTTTTATTTCTGTGTGTTTATTCATTTCTCTCTGTTTGGCTTACGTTTTTTTTTCGCAGTTTTCTTTCTAAATTTATTGTTTGTCTTTATCTTACGCCCGTTTTCTTTGCGTCCGCATGCAATTTTGGAGTGTGTGTGCGTTACTTTGCCTGATTGTTCCATTTCATTTTGCAAAAAATCGCATTTTTTCCCTACTGCCGCTATAAAACCATATTTTGCAAGTATTTTTTCGACTGCAAACCGACGAGCTGTGCCCGATGAGCGTGCACACAGTTGGTTTGCAGGCGCACGCGCGCGGGGGAATTGCAAAAGCACGCGGCAACAAAACATAGAATCAACAGCTACCTTGCATCTTAACCTTTGTTGCAATTCCAATTGCTGTGCGCTTTACGCGCCTAATATTTGGATTATAATTAATTGCAATTGGAAGCGTTTTGTTTGTATAGTTTTTTTTTTTCAAACGGCGCGCACGCATCGGAAATACTCTCGGTTGGGAATATACACGTTGGAGCAGTGCTGGACGATTGAATCAGCGATTCTGAATCACTTCGTACTTTTGACGAGTCAATTAAATGCGATATAGCATTCACAATTCCAGTGAATTAATTCTGTTCTCTCGAGTTATGGCTTTTTCTGAAATTCGTTGATATTTTTATGCTTTGAAACGTCTTTTTAACTTGAACAGGTGACGAAAGTCGATTTCAAGTATGCATGAGTAAGAGCAAGTCGACCAAATTTTAAAATAAATGTCACTGAATATACGACAGCAGATTTAAGTTGAAGAACGACCATAAAAACCACAAAAATGGGGAAAAAATGAAGAAGAAACGAGTCATAACGGAAAGTGCGGTCACAAGAGAGCACTCACGGCAGAAGAAAAAGGGAAAAAAACTGAACAATCATCAAAGAAGAGACACGACACACAATGTGAATAAAAACATAATGAGCCGTGTTGAGAGTTCACATATGCGAGTGTTTGTAATTATATTACTGAACGGTATTACCGTTTCTCCATTTATACGGCGCATTAGTTTCACTTTTACTAAATTCACTTTTTGCAATGAGATAATCTTTGGTTATATTGTTGCGATCCGATTAATGAAATAATCATAATCGGCTGTGTCTCTTCACTCATTAGATCCTATAAACAGCTGAACAGAAACGGCTTCGGCTAATTTAATAATCAATTCAATTGATGATGCCAACGACGAGCAATGACATTTAAGGGAAACTAAATTGACGACCCGTGGAAATTATGCTTTTTTCCATATATTCAAATCCAATTCAATCCAATCAATAAAATAAAACGTTTAAATCACAACACCCGATAATTTCCGAGTTAAATTTTAATAATTTTGCATTTGATAAAAGAAACTGGACAAACACATTGGCGCTGAACCAGACAGAGAGAGGAAGGAAAGGAGTTAAAATGAAATCTATTCAAAATCGAATCGATTGAGAGTTATATCAAAATCCACTGTATATATTAAAAAAAAACTACACACAGAGGCACACACACAAATGGAGTAACTCACAATTTGAAAAAAAAAATGCAACTAACCGAATTCCACTTGTGATCGTCGCACTCGGACACGTCTAAAATCAGCTCTCTCGAAAATCGACTTTTTTTTCTCTTCAGACTCGTTTTGGTCGTTTGCAAGAAACGAGCCACAATTTGCTGTTTGTTCGAGAGATCACAAAATTGTTGGCACTAAAACCAAAACCACTTCGCTGAAAGTGTTTCAATGGACTGATGTGCTGTTCAGCTAACACATCGAATCTATACTGAGGGGGCTCTATTGGAGCCGTCATAACGATCGCTTACGCGTGCTAGCGCGTACACACACTCGCCACCATCACCGCCGCTGCTGCTGCTGTTGCCGCCACCGTAATCGTCGCTCTTCATTGCGACGTTATGCTTTTTCTTTCTTTCAGCGCGGAAAGAAGAGAGAAAGTTTTTTTTCCAGTCCAACAGAGTAGTGCGGTTTGCATAAGACGAGTTGCAAGTATTGGCTTTGCTTTGCCAACATTCGCATGACCATGTGTTGTGAAAGGAGTAGTCATACATACACGGTCGCGCGCATACACGCCAGCACGGTATCCCCCATCAACGATGATGTCAACGGCTCTCACAGTTCGTAGTGGCCAGCATAAAGAGCATCACACAACGGCTAACCGATATCAGCATTATGCCGCATCACTGACACACAACCATCGCTACAGCGCATCGAATAAACTAAATCGGCTCAAAACAAATAAACAACACACTAAACCACATATACGGAACCAAACACGGTTCGCCGCTTCGCAACTCTTTTTTCAACGACACACTCACCAAACAGCCTACATATGTTTACTGCTGATGCTTTCGGTGACTGTGTGGACTACGTGCATATCATTTCGGACCACACGACAGTTACTTGGCGCGAGCGCGTTGTCTACATGCGGATCTTGTTATTTATAGAAAATGCAAATGTAGATGAGAAAAAAAAACAACGTACACTTGGCTTGTTTATTGAAAACGAAAACGAAACAAAGCGATCTCTCGTGCGACGCTCGTATGTGCTGTTGGCACATACACACTCCAACTATGCGACGATGACGACGACGACGACGAATGTCGACGATGAAAAATGTGCGCACGATGCCATGAATATTGCAAACTCGTTTCCAACCAAACTGCATATTTCATTTCGGTTTGGCTGCGTTTTTTTCTGCTCGATCGTCAATTTGGTTGTTATTTTTGGACAGCATAAAAAATCGGCCCTACACATCGATTATTGTACCGAAGCGACCCATTGAACTTCATAACACCATAACCTTTTTCATCACATCACATCACTTGGTGCATTTTATTTATCAAATTACTTTATGAACAAATATTGCATTAAACTGTGAAGAAGTCACATCGAATTTTATGGTCGATTTTTACGACTGCTCCCCTTTCTTTTAAAAGATCACCATTTAATCGCTTTTACCGGTGATAAAATGATGTTTCTCTTCTTTTCGTTTGCCAACAATCGCTTGGATACAGAAATAAGAACGAAAGCCAGAAAAATCATGATTTACTACTGTGTCCAAAAAGTAAGGTGACATTGCATTTATTTTGAAAATTCTTTATTTATTCTTCCAAATCAATTTCATCGCCTTCAAAGTAATCCCCTCCCGATACAATGCACTTATGCCAACGGATTTTCCAATCTTCGAAACAGTTGAAAAAGTCGACTTCAGGGATGGCCCTCAGCTCCGTCTTCGCTGCGGCTTCAATCTGCTCTATCGTCTCAAAACGGTGTCCCCGGAGCGGTCTTTTGAGCTTGTTGAACAGCCAGAAGTCGCACGGTGCCAAATCAGGTGAATACGGTGGTTGTGGAACGATATGAGTCGAGTTTTTGGCGAAATGTTCACGAAGAATGATCGCATTGTGAGACGATGCATAATCATGGTGCAAAAACCAAGAGTTGTCTTTCCACAATTCCGGCCTCTTTTGGCGGATAGCGTTACGCAAACGACGCATCACACTCAAATAATATTCCTTGTTGACTGTTTGACCCGGGGGAAGGAACTCATAATGCACAACACCCCGATAATCGAAGAAAACAGTCAACATGACCTTGATTTTTGAGCGACTTTGGCGCGGTTTTTTTGGTCTCGGCTCACCTTTGGCACGATATTCGCTCGATTGGTCGGTTGTTTCCGGGTCGTAAGCATAGATCCAAGTCTCGTCTCCAGTGATCATGCATTTCGTCTTGTCAATGTAGTCAGAAAGCATTGTTTCACACACGTCAACTCGACACCTTTTTTCCAAAAAATTCAATGATTTCGGTACCAGTCGAGATTTGACGCGTTTGAGGCCCAAAACATCCTTCAAAATGGTATTGACTGAGCCTTTCGATATGCCAATATCATCAGCAAGGTCTCTAATCGTTAATCGACGGTTTTCCAACACCAAATCTTTAATTTTTTGGACGGAGCTTCGTCGGTTGAGGTTGATGGTCGCCCAGCACGCTCTTCGTCTTCGACACATTCACGGCCTGCTTGGAACTCACTATACCACTTGTAAACATTTTTTTTCGACATAGCCTCATCACCAAAGGCTTTCTGCACCATCCTCAACGAATCCGCAGCAGAAAATTGATTCCGCAAACAAAATTTAATGCAAATTCTTTGATCAACAAATTTCGACATCGCAAAAAACGAGAAATTCACTTTTAGCAGTCCACAAAACGAAGCGTATCTCAAACACTAATGAATATTTTGACGTGTAATTTGGCAGGGATGTCAAAGACAGTCCTACCAACCTAAAAATAAAAGGATTTTTTCAAATTCCCCAGCGCGCTAAATTTTAAATGCAATGTCACCTTACTTTTTGGACACAGTAGTATATTTTGTTGATTACAACACTTTATTTCCTCGGCGGCTTTATGAGAACATCTCCGGCATTTTGGAGGCGCAAGAACTTTAACCGGTCATCAAAAAAGCCATGCAACCGATTTATTTGTCGGGTATGTTTCAACACACGGCACGAATCTAATTATAAGTGGATTTGCGAAATGATGTTTTGACCAACCTTGCTGTCGCGTCATCACATCGGCACGTCACACTCTCGTTCGATGAAGAAATTATGAAAAAATAGAACAAGTACATTTTTTTCTTCTGACTCTGTTTACAATGAGACTCAATGTAGACTCTACAAATAGATGATCTAAACTGAAAAAAAAGTGATGCTTTTTTGTGTGTGGCCAAACCAGTGAAACAAAAACCAATGACCGGAAATAGAAGTTTTTTTTCTGCTTTCTGAATAAATTCTCTTTTTCGGCCTTTGAATCAAGCGATGCTTTGAATAAATTTTCTCCATGGAAATTTCATATTAATTTGAATATTAAAAATGGAATAAATTATGAAGGGAATGCATCGAATGCGCTGCCGTAAAAAGAGATTTGACCCAAAAATCAGATTAGAGTGAAGAAATACGTTGTTAAAACTCATCAAGAGTCTCGACTTGTGACAGAGATGGATAGAGAGAGATGCAACAACCAGCATATGATGAAATCGTTTTCAAGATTGTATACCTGCATTTAATCGGGCTCAATTTCCTGAGATGTCATGTGATTTGTGTAATGCGATCACTGATTCAACCGCCTGATGAAGTGCAGCGAATTAATTAGTCCAAGACTTTTATCAATTATACATGTAGCAAATGCCATCATCATCATCATCATTTTCTTGATGAACCTTTAAACAAAAATAAAATAAACAATTCAAAAGTGTAACACAGCAAATATCACTTTCATTATTCATTTGTTTGGTTTCATTCGGTACACGAATGCAGCAGCAGCAGCAGCAGAAGAAGAAGAAAAACAAAGAAAAAAAACCCGAAGCCGTCTGATGTCATGCAATTAAGAAGCCAAATATTAAGTGTCACTAATTGCTTATGTAATTTGCAATCGTGTTGAAGCGTTGAATTCATTCATGCATGCGGCAGTTTATTGTTTGCGCTAACACTTCATCAACACGTTGTGGGTGCAACAAACAAAAGAATAATTGCCAACTAATTATAGCTTCCCACAACGATATTTGACGAAAAATCAAACTCAACCAGTGGTATAGGGGCTAATTTAAATGGAAGATGGTTGATAAACGTTTATCTAGAGCCCTTATTACCGAAGACGATCATGTATGTTCATAATATTGAATAGTTTCAACTGAAAATCTTCAACGAACCAAAGAAAGGCCAAATTTGATCAATACAGGCCGAAATATGTTGGCCTTGCAATGAAAACAAGTTTTTTGTTTTTTTTTTCGACGGTTAAATCTTGTTTTGATTGAATTTCGTCATAAATGTGACGTTTGCGCCAGGTTTTTTCGAATGTGAATTTTGCACATATAATGCGATAAGTGTTTGAAGTAAATTTAATTATTCATTCAGTGAATCGTCTTTCTACTCTCGTTCCGAAAAGCACATCTACTTTAGTCACTGGTCGAGCAAGAGGCAGCAAAAAATCAGTTCTATAAACAAATCAAGTTAAATGCTGTCATCAGTAGCTCTAAATCAGTAAATGATGTTTTCAAGATACTACGATGACTCGATATATCTCAAAAATGCCCGTAAAAACACCTATCTACTTCTTCTATCTCGGTTCATTTGATCGAGCGTTTTTTACAGGTTAATGTTTTGAAAGATAAACAACCATTAACCCTCAACTGCATGAATTTTTCCTAGGACTGGGAGTACTGGTATTTGGTTGATTTTTGGCCATAGATAACGAAAAAAATATTCATAATCCTAGATTTCCCATGGTTTAGTCAGGAAATGCGATAGAAATAAGTCAGAGAACAATGAAATCCATTGTTTAAAAGTGTCAAAAATATGTCTAATTTGGAAACCGAATAATTTATTTTGTCAAATTTTCGTTTTCGTGCACATTTTTGTTTATAACTCACCAATCGTACGACATAGACAAATGACGCCAAAGACAAAAATAAAGAAAAAACATTGAAAAATAAAAATTCCCCTTGAAGCAATGTCATCCGCCGTACGATTCACATTATACAGGTGTTTAAATGATGCCCGCCAAAAGGCGGGCTTATGCAGTTGAGGGTTAACAAGTCGAATTAAGAATCGACGATAAAATTGAAGCGAAAAAAAAAACAATCGTGGCGAAAACAGATTTGAGTTGTAGCAGCGTGAGTAAAAAAAAATTGACAAGAAAACAATCAAGCACATCACATGATGTGCCGATATCCGGATCAATGAACTCGATTTTTTTTCTCGCAGCGTCTAGTAAATCCGTTTGACCAATTCTTGTCGATCAATCATATGATTTACGGGCAAAAACCAACAATGTTTTGGGCAAAAAAATAATTTATGCGATTAGCAAACATAAATAAAGTGAAACAAATCAGTTACATTGTTGTTACGATAATTTGTTAAATTAAACGATCTTTTCATACAGGGCATTCATAAATGCCGAACCGAAAATTGATGAATTTCCTAAAATGCTTTTGGCTTTCGAATAGCACATACACACACACACTCGGTGAAACGAGATCATGATCCAGAAAATCGGTTTCGATTTGCAAATCGTCTGTCTTCACAATAAAAACCCCAATCGGCAATTTGTAAGCGCAGTTTTGCATTAGTAACAACAACAACAACCGCAGCAGCAGCTTGTTGCTTTTGTTGTTTGTTGCTTATGGCATTGAGTATAAAAGCAGTTCAATATAAATCGAACATGGGTTCGATTATGCGCTCGACTCATTATAAAATCGATATTTAAGTGGAGAGGTGTATTCGTGAAAGAAGTCACATGACTTGGGATGAGTAAATCACACGATGACGTCATGGATCATCATGCAACAACAGAAAGAAAGAAAAAATACTTTGAAACCCGTACGAGGAGCCGTTTTCGTCGTCTTCGTGGTGGTGGCGGTGAATCTGAATCTGATATAAATCTGAAACATGCTTATCTGGTGATTGTAACAATTCCTGTATTTCAGTTTTCGAACGAATTGAACCGATTTTTTCAGCCCAATTGAGTGTTAGATAGAGCAACCAAAGCCATATAGTATATGCTGCTTATAGAAATTGATTGTCTATGGCGTGCGCTCGCGCTATGCATCCGCTTCATCAGTATATGTGCACTTTCATCACGTGCTTCGAATTTTCCTTTGGCTGTGTTTGTGCATAATATTGTGCATACAAATTGTGTTGTGCTTAATGGCGAAGCCGGTTTTCTTCTCTGTCAGTTTTCTAGTGTCTTCGTTGTCGTCGGTGATTTGTATATATATTTTTTTTCGTATTTCTTTCGCTATTTATTACAGTCACGAGTTCTAATCAAATGAGGATATAACATTTCATTTTCAACTGAAATGTGGCTGCATGGCAAGCGAGCGAACGGTGTGCGCCATTGCGCTTGAAAGCGTAAGCTTATTCATTCGCGCGCGCAACCTTAAATTCCACCATAATTTATATCTTCTTTTTTACTGATACTTTTTTTTTCGTTCGTTTTGTTCACTTTTTTAATATTATATTTCGTTTATTGATCAGAGGCATCGTTCGCTTTAAATTTTTGAACTGTGTTCTTTTTTATCTTTATTTGTTTTGTTCACATTTTTATTGAACCGACGAAAAAAAATTGCGAAGCAGCAGCAGCAGATCCGTGCTCGAGATCGAAACCGGTGAAAGAACAAAAAAGGGAAGGTACATGATGAATCAACAACCTTGCTATTATCAGCGAAACATCCGTGTTCGGTTGAGAAATAAATGGATTTATGACGTGCGTTAAGCATCAGTTCTTTGTCCGCATTCGACAATGATGATGTTTTGGACGAGAAGAAAAAAAAACTTCCTATTCGAAAACAACAAAACGCTTCGCATTGAAATCGAACCCATTTGAAAAATATGCCTTGTGCAATACAAATTTTTCACTTTGTATTCGGTGTGAATATGGGACGATAAGAAATAAAGCAAATGTTTGACAAATGGTTGGGGTTTTTAGAAACAAATTAATGCCGGTGGTGTTTTGTAATAAACCAATTAATGAAGTACCATCATCAACAACAATTTTTAATTTTTTC